CTCTCTCTCTCTCTCTCTCTCTCTCTCTCTCTCTCTCTCTCTCTGTGTGTGTGTGTGTGTGTGTGTGTGTGTGTGTGTGTGTGTGTGTGTGTGCCTCGGCTGGTTGCGGTCTCTCGCGCCCGCTGTGGCTGTCGTCTATAGTGTCTTTGCGGGCACTGGAATGGGCGCGAGAATCTCTCTCTCTCTCTCGCTCGCTCGCTCGCTCGCTCTGTGTGTGTGTGTTGTTCTCGCGCGCGGGCTGTCTTCTGGCGTGTCTTCTCGGGCACTGAAACGGGCGCGTGCTCTCTCTCTCTCTCTCTGTGTGTGTGTGTGTGTGTGTGTGTGTGTGTGTGTGTGTGTGTGTGGAAGAGTCATGCAAGAGTGATGTATCTTGAAACACATGCAGGAGGAGGAGATGCTGTTTTATTTCAACAGGTTCTCACTCGCGCTGTCTCCTGGCGTATCACCTCGGGCACTGGAACGGGCGTGAGGATGTTCTCTCACACACACCGCGAACGAACTCAGGAATACAGCTCAGTTACAGTCAACATCTAAAAGAAAGAAAGAAAGAAAGAAAAAAAAAAAAAAGACATCAACGTATGGATCAGGCTTGTATATCTACAAACCACGTATTTCTACGTACTCCTCCAGAATGTACAGTCTACAGGGCAGAGAATGGGCCCGAAGAAAAATGCGCCGGACCCCCCCCCCTGTAGCGTTTTCAAACGTCTGAAGCCCGCGCGGTTCGGAGAATCGCACCGCCCCGGTGTCCGCTGACCGGTAGAATAATGGGCCAGATCCCACTAGCCCCTATTGTTCATTTCTGACCGTTGATCTTCGTCTTCCCCCGAATATAACGCACGCTCCAGGACTTTTCGACTGAGCTACCCGGTAGGCGGGGCTGTAATATATGTCCTAAATGCCGGATGTCGGAATGCGGACGCGAAAGTCCGTCGTATCTCATTTGGTACGAATGCCGTTCGGTAATACGTTCGTCTCCCGAATACAACGCATGGCCATTATAGCTGAATTTGGCGTATCTTTCAGTCTAAATACAGATATAATGACCGTGCGTTGTATGACCGTGCGTTGTATTCGGGGGAAGAAGGTAGACAGAGAAGAATAGCATGGTCCCCCTTGACACGCATAAATCGAGAGAAGAAAATTTTTGCATAGCCCATGCCCAAGGATGACACATATAAATCGAGAGAAGAATATGATTAGCATGGCCCCTGCGCAAGGATGATACGCATACATTGAGAAATGGTAGCCGTTTTGAAACTCGCTTGTGCCACAAACGAACTTGCCCCTTTTTACTTATTATGATTCCGATGGACCACGGATCTTCAGACATCAAACTGCTCAGAACAGATAGTACATCTGATCTTAGCCAAAAGGCCAGTGAGGGGAAAAAAAAAAAAAAAAAAAAAAAAAAAAGGCCTGCTGGAATTCTTTGGGAACTCACTTCTCCGGAACTGCCGAGACGGATGGGTGAGTCTTGCTCTGCAGAGATTTCATTTCATCATAGTGGGGGATTAGTCTCCTAGGGAGTTGGGGGGTTAGTCTCCTAGGGAGTTGACGCAGACTGGTGACTGGTGGCGTAGTTTTGCCCTGAATCACGAGGAGGTGGGTGGGTGTTGCGGGGTCTTTGCCCCCTGCCGCATGGGTGGTAGGGCGTTTCTACTGGCTCGCGAAGATACCATGTGAAAGCACTATATGCTCGTTAGGTCACTTAGAGGCTGATCCCACTTCTGAACTTTTATGAAAAAGTCGTAAAAGTTCCTTGAAAGTAGGAGAAGTACAGAACCCTCCGTAGGAAAAAATTCGGATCCCACAGGCCCGAACTTCTTGGCGCTTTTACGATTGGGTCGCCGAATTTCGATGGCCGTGCACGGGTCCTGCGGAGATACCCTTTTCCGATTGGGGCTTCTGGCCGTTTTGTGAAAAAAAAAAACAAAAAAAAACATCCCGAAAACATGCCTACTTTTTGGGGGAAGGGTAGGGGGTCGCGGGGTACCTACCGTTTCCTACCAACTTTGCGCCGCGGGTCAAGGCCGTGGCGACACACAATTTTCCCACAGTAGAAACAGCCGTTTTTGGTTGCAGCGCCGTCGGACAGGGAAGTTGGGGAAAGCATGTGGGATCCCCTTTTTTTCCTAAAAGCTCTTCTACTATGTGCTGTGGGATCAAGTACTTAGACCACCAGTACTTCCTGAAAACGCTCCCGTATACGCGGAGCGAAATTTGGAATGAACGGGCCTGGGCCGGTAGGCCCGATTCAGCCAAGTGGAAACGGCACGGTTTCCACTTTGGGCTGGCCGTATACGCGGAGCGAATTCAGGAAGTACTGGTGGCTTAGGTATTCGTGTCTCTACAAGTGGCTTTGGTTTCCAGAAATCATCCCTTTATTCGCGAGATGGAGCAGTGAGCATTGCTCCACAGGGACTTCACCATGGAGGGCGGTGAGGCCTCTGGTAGGCAGTGGATGCAGATTGGGGGAGAAATCAGGCTTCCCTAAATAGCGAGGAGCTGGGTGGGTTTTGTGGGGTCTTTGACCCCTGCCGCGTGGGTGGTAGAGTATTTCTGCCAGCTTGCAGAAACATCATCATGGTGGAAATAGATGTCTTTGGTAATGGTGAGTGGGATCCACTCTGAATCGCGAGGGGGTGGGTAGGCTTCGCAGGGTCTGTGTTTGCATTCAGGGGCTGCTGATACAGACCCCTGCCGCAGGGGTGGCGGGGTGGATTTGCAGGGATTGGATGACAAAAAGTAGGATGAACGTAGTCAATCCCCTGGACTTTGGGAACTTGAACCACCAGTACCTTTCCCCGCTTGAAAACACATCCCATGGGGGTTAACACAGAAGTTCAGGCCCGTGGCGAAATGACTGGCGGAAAAAAAAAGAAGAAAAAAAGAAAAAAGAAGAGAGAGAAAAGAAAAGGGTGAATTCAGGCCCGCCGCCTATGTATGGGAGAGCTACTGGTGGATTAAGACTGTTAAGATTCCCTTGGAATTTAAGGTTGTTGACTGTTCCTTTCAGGACTGTTTGCAATTTTTCAAGTCGGAATCCCCTATTGTCTACCGC